GAAAAATTGGAACGCGATGCCGTAGAGGTAGAGAAGAGAACAATCATCACATCCGTATATCTTAGAATACGACATTGACTGTTCTACATCAAAAATGCTTATGTACTATGGAAATATATTTATTTATTTTATAGCCGTTGAAAGAAATATTGCAGAACTTCGGAACGGATTTGCACGAGAGTTAATGGACTTTTGTGTGATATATACATATATATATGTATATATATATATATATATACACACCGATGTTGTATAATTCGTTGAGTACAACTCTATTTTATTTTTACAACTGCATTATTTGTATACAAGTGCATGTTGATTCAACTAGAATATTAATCTCAAACAATCTTGAAAATCCATCTCTTCTTCTCACAAGCTATTTTTTACGCTCTCCCTCATACATACTCACACCCATGCAAGTTTGTACTCATTTCACCCGTATGCGTGATAACAATTAATTGGTAAATGTTATCGTCTAACATTATTAAACACAATTATCTTTACGATAAACTCACAAGTTACTCTTGCGACAATCCCGTAACTTGTAGCACATAATAATTGTAATATTACATGTATATATACTTTTTATTTCCCTCTCTTCACAGATTGAGAAAAAAAAAAAATGAACGCGCGTTAAATTGGGAGATGAAAACTCGATGTCATGGATATATTTCCTCGTCTATTCTCCTTTTTTTTTTCTTTTCAAGAAATAACAAACCGCGTAAGAAGGAAGACGTCTTTAGTCGTCAATGATAAAAATTAATTACATTTAAAACTTATCGTAATTGCTAATCATCATGTACCTGAATCTTTTTTTTTTCTCTTTTTTTTTTTATATTTCGTCAATCCACTTCACACGGTAATTTGTGTTCTCGTATGCGTAACTTGTTATAACAAAAAATAAAACCCTTTAACTGGATTATCCTCAAATTTTATTCAAAGAAAAATTTCTCAGTGTCTTTTTTGAATAATCAACAATCGTCGTATAATGGATTATTTAGAAAAGATGTGTATACAAAATTGAAATATAAAAAACTCGATACAATTATATGTTAAAGCATTCTGTTCGTACAATAATTCGTATGTATAAAGTTTTGACAATGCGTACACACGCACAAAAACTAAAATATTACTCATAAAAAAATAAAAGCTTTTCATTCGGAGTTGATAAAAATATCAAAGAAAACTTTGTTATCGTATGTTACCGTTAAAATTACCTTGTTATCAGATAAAATCTACTTGTTCCAATTACATTTACTTATAGAAATTTATCTCGTCAATAAATCTAGACCGTCAGCCGAACATGATGGTATTCCTCCTGATTGGATTTACGTGATTAGTCAGCTTGACCAAACGCACGTAATTCTGGCCATTATCGGTGAAAACTATTCTGCCGTCAGTGTAAAGCGCCAAACCGAGTGGCCGATTTATTTCCTCCAGTCCCGGATTGTATACGTACATCAGATGTCCGAGCGAGTTGAACGCCTTGATGGAATTGTGACGGGAGTCCGCAACGAGGAAACTGCCGTCGTCCGCCGCGATTATTCCTTGCGGTCGCTGAAATGGTGCACTTTCTACATTCTCCTTGCTGTTGTCTCCTTTCAAGATCCTCAATTCGCTGTCGCATCGGACTACGCGCGCCTGTTCCATGTCGTAGTCGATTTTCAGCACGTGATGATAGTTGAAGTCTGTTACCAGAAGATTTCCCTCCTTGTTGAAGCAAACGCCGCGGGGCGAGTCCAAATATTTTGATTGGCCGCCGAACATGCGTAAAAACACTCCTTCGGCGGTGAACAGCTGTACCCGATGATTCCTGGTGTCGGTGACCGCAATCTCGCACGTTGAATTAACTGCTACATCCCACGGATAATTGAAGCACCCGTCTTTATCGCCGTACTCGCCGAATTTTCTTAAAAACGCACCTTCCATCGTTAATATCTGAAACGCGATAGAATTATTTGGTTACATTTGTGTGCGATGTGATTTTTTAAGACAAGGATAATACTCTTGTGATGATTAAAAAACACAACACATCCTACACGCACCTGGATGCGATGGTTGTCCTTATCCGCAACAATTATTCGTTTCATCGCATCCACCGCGATCCCGGCCGGCTTGTTAAATTGGCAGTTGCCGTTACCGTAATCGCCAAAACTCCTGATTAAGACGCCGTCTCCTCGAAAAATTTGTATTCTGTTGTTTGATCTATCGCTGACTATTATGTTCCCTTCCGTGTCGACGGTCACGCCCCAAGGACGACACAGATTCTGAGCATCTTCCTCGCCAAAGTGGCCGATAATCAGGATATCGGTGCTCTGGACTTGATTGTCAACTCGATTAGAAAGATTTATGTCGTGATCGTAGCCCATGATCGGACGACCACGCGGGATTGGATATTTCGATCGACTGTCGGTCGTGTCATATGGGAAGAACGACTGCGGCAATCTGTAATTCTTCAGCAAGGGGTTGTTTTCTCTGCCGGGACGGATCTTTGTTCTCCGGTTTTGACGTATTCGCCAGATCTATGTAGAAATGCAAGTATGTGATAAAAATAAACACTATATATATATATATATATATATATATATGTATACACACATACATATATACACGGTGCTTTAAAAATAGGTGACCTTTGGTATCATATTCTACCCTCCCTACATATATATGTATATATATATAAGAATGAAAAAAAATCATCATAAATAACTTCCATATAAAATTTCGAAGCAAAGAGCGTCTATACCGAACCTATGGTTTATATAACCTTTTTATTTCTGAAGTATCTTGTATTTGCGTATGTATACATCACTTTATTAACACATTGTTGACCGGCAATTTTACTGAAAAATTTATCTCATGTCACCGGCTATTATTTCGTAATTGGAAGTGGAAGTAAAACAATAAAAATAAACTTTAATAAATTTTATTTATTATTCAACTTTTTTAATATTTCTTTTTCGTATGATAAGCAGTATAACAATCACCTACGTGTAATGGGTACACAACAGCTTTTACAAATATAAAAGCCGTTGTGTACCATTACTGCCGTAATGGTACACAAAACGCATCACGAGTTAACTCGTGACCGGTCAATGTGTTAATCAGTTATCAGTAGACGTACCTCAGCTAATACTCGATCTTTCAGTTGTATAAGTTTATTGGGATGCACTGAGATGCGATTATTACGTTCGAGATCTCGTATCGCTTCTCTCAATTGGTTTAAATCGTCTTGCAAAATCTCATATCGCTTGTATAATATATGAGAATAAAAAGGTTCTTCGTAAAACCCATTAGTTTTCTGATCTTTTGCTTTTACTTGCAAGTTACGTAACTCATCCTGAAAAAAACAAATTTTTCAAGATTGTATTTCGCATCGCGCGACTGCTCCGATCTTTGGCATGCAGTACAGTAGCGCTTAAATCGCGCTGCGAGGAGAAAAAGTTCCCCTTCTATACGCCGCTCCGACTAAAAATCAACAGAATGCGACGGAAAGACAACGCGATGCACGGAGAAGGGAAACCTCATCCCCTCTCGCCATGGGGAACGCCATTTCATTAGTTCACGCAGTGTATACACAGATTAGATATTTTTGGTGTTATAATGTTGCTGCTCTCGTCAATGATTTTTAAAAAAAGATTCATCAAGTTTGGAACGGAAATAGAAAAAAAAATTTTGACGGAGAAAAATTATCATTTACATGTTAAACATATTTGACTAACCTTGACTTCTTTTATGTCATCCGTAAGGACATCAATTCCAAGATAACCTTCGTTGAATACATCTTTAATTTGCTGCTGGAGAGTGTCCAAGAATTCTATATGCTCGACTGTCACGTGGTTGCGAACGCAAAGAGCTGCGCAGTCCTCGCAGATGTATTTGCTGCATGTATTACAGTAAAGTGACTGAGGGCAAAAATGCAATTTGTCGGAATGCAACGGTATCAGGTGCGAGGTGTTTGCATTAGGTGAATGATGATCTTCTATTCCTGACTCATTTGTCGATGATACAACGCCCAAATCCCACAGGCCACTCGAGTTACAAGTTGTCTGTCCGCAGACAAGCGACTGTTGTTTAATCTTATCTTCTTTCTTTGTTGATGATTTATTATTGAATACATCTGCATCCAGTAAATTCGAAATATAAGTTCTTCCTAAATCGTTCGATTGTCCAAAACTGTTGAAAATCAAGTCGATCCTCCTATTAATAAAATTCATATTTAAATCTCCATGTTTCTCGTAGTCCTGACGTTCGTTGTTCTGATCATTCGGAAACATTTCCGGCGTGTTTGCGATGTTTGATTCAAATCGCTGAAAACGTCGATCGGGCGAACAACAGTTCAACCGATGACGCGGTGAATTTTGATTGACTGTACTTTCGTCTGACGAGCCGGGTTGACTGTCGCCGCAAGAACCAGGTGGACTGTCGGCGGAAGATCCGAGGGAACTGCTGCTGCACTGACTGTGATCCGCTCTCAAAGATCTAGTCGATCTTAATAGATCGACTATATTTAAATCTAAAAAATTCTGATGATTGTAATTCGAATTTTTTTGCAACGAACGGCAATTTACACAGGGAGTAGGAGCAACTCTCGTACAACGCGACCCATGTTTAGTCTGTGTATTCATCAGGTGACCAGCTTTCCTGCATTTGGGCTGAAAAAAAAAAAAAAAAAAACAATTCGATAACATTAAGATCTTAACAAAACTTATGTAAAAATATGGTAGAGTGCACAGAAAAAGAAAACAAGATTTAGATTCTCATGAAGTTTTAAACGAGATATTTATGTGAATTCTCACGCTATGAACAATAAAAATCTCTTACTTTTACCGTTGAGTAGTGATTGTCCGTTTCGCTGCGAGATTTCGATCGATCTGTTCCGAACACAACACTCAAGTCGATAGTTCTATTTCTTTTATCAAATTCTTTTTTCAAATCTTCATTTCCAATTTTTTCCCAACCATTTCCAAAATCACGTATAGTTCTATTTCTTTTCAAATCTTCATTTCCAATTTTTTCCCAACAATTTCCAAAATAACGTATACTGAAAAAAAGTATACACAACAAAATATTAAAGTCGCGTCTATTTTAAACGAACGACTCTATTTTTTTTTATTTTTTATTATCACAAGATGAGATTAGTCGCACGCGCCAGTAAATCACGCGATCGTCTCTCAACGCTAATCACAAGTTTGAGAGTTGTTTTTTTCAATTAAAGCGTATTGTTTTAAAAATAAACGTGTAGTTAAAAAGTAAACTTTCTATATATATATATATATATATATATATATATATACATACATACAATATAAATAAATATATATATACACATATAGCTCTTTTATTGTATATTTTTTTCTTCTTTCTTCTTCCTCCCTGTCTCTCTCACTCATTCATCTTCGTGTTTTCTCATTTGCCTTCTTGTGTGGCTTAATAAGTGCCTTTTGATTACGCTTTTATGTTAGGATATTTTTTGGTGGGTGACATTCGGAGAATAATGTCCTTGAAACATCACCATGGCGACCAAGATCAAATTCGCTATTCCTCTCTCGAGGAAAAAGGCGAAGATAAAATGGCTGGAGTTTACGTGTTTACGATAATTCGATATTTTGGACAAAGAAAAGGTCGAAGACCTCAAAAAAAAAAAAAAAAACGTTGTTTCGAAAATGGAATTGAAATCGAATTTCCATCTTGGCGTTTGTGCCAACGAGACAATGAACGATCGTTTCTATTTTTTCGCGCCTTTTTTTCTGTATGATTTACGATTATTTTCCTGTTTACGCAACACACATGATATCTCACTCACATATGTTACTCTTTTCTACACACTTATCATGTAAACAATTAAAATTACTTTATTAACACGATGACAAGAGAGAAGATAAATTGTATAAATTACACTGACTTGAAACAAGAAAAAAAAAAGAATAAACAATTCAAGCAGCGGGGATCAACATTCCATTGAAGTAGTTGAAACAAAAACAAAGTGTTCAAAAAGCAAATGACAGAATGAAGAAAAAAAAAAACAAACTCAAAAAAATACTTGACGAAACTTGCATGCTGGTATATAAAGGTTAAAAAATAAAACGTAATTATGGAATATATATTTCAAGAGTACAATAAATGATGTTCGGAAACAACAAGTCGATGATCCTGAGCGTAATATCTCGATGATAGATAAAAATTAAACGGTTTTTCCATGATGACTCACTCCATGGTTATTCCGAAGAATTCCAGAAAGCTTGCCCGGAAATGACGGCCGAAGAAGAAGTCAAACTGTTTTTTTCTCTCACTCGACGTACACGCAAATCGACGAACACGAAGCTATTGTTCCAGTCGGTCAAAAACGATCGGAATTTACTATATTGAAACTATCACGAGGGGATGGATGAAAAAATCGTTGTAATCGACGTGATACTCTCGGATATATGTATTCCGCGAATTTCTCTAAGCGAAAACCACCCTTCGAGCCGGTACGCGACGAACAGACATCCGCCCTTGATACTTGGCTGCTCGGCTCTGTGAATCACCCACGTAGCATCCGTGAAACGCCGGGGAAAACGCGTAGGTAGATCCTTCTCTCGCAAACCTTCCCTTACCCCCCGATTATCCGCCATGCGGTTCACGGTCAGGCGCCTGCGCCCGGAAACTATGAATGGAGGCGCCCGTTCAATGTCGAGCGGACTTTTATTTGCTCGCAGGATCACTGCGGCATCCCCCACGGCGCCCACCCTCTTTGCCACCCCTTAACGGCGACGACGACCTTCAAGCTAGCGGTCGGGGTCGAGGCGAAGCAGGTTCCGTCATCCGAGGGAACAGGTGGCACACGACGCCGGCCGGGTCGCGCCACAGTTATACATGCCACGATCAATTCTCTTGAGTCAAACGCGTTTTAATTAAATGCTAGATTATCAATGACTCCGTAATGTCAAAGATAGATAATTTTAATATAAAAAAAAATACAGATTTATAATTATATTTATTTCTTGTAAAGTTAAAATTTTGTTTTTTTTCGAGAAAACGGAATTTTAGAACGAAAAACGATCTGTCTTTTTTGCTTTGCACTACTTTGTGTAGAGCGTCCAAAGTTATTATTATTATTTATTTTTCAGCTCTCTGGGACATAAAAATACTTTCGCCTGCGTGTTACGATCTTTTTGCCCGTCGCGTTTAAACTTTAATTTGTGCAAATCAACGAAAAATGAAAGCAGAATAAACGAGTGAAAAATTTATAAAATGCAAGTATCGACAAATACTGCAGTATGTTACGAGATAAAAATCGCACGTGCGGTCGTTTTTTAGTTAAATTTTACCGACTTCTGTAAAATTCAACACAATTACATACAGCTGTATCTCTCTCTATCTCTCTCTCTCTCTCTCTCTCTCTCGATTTTGTAGAGTTTATTTTTCAATCAACAAGAGAGATCGGCAGAACAACCGGTAAAACAATCCAACAAGTCGCTGGACAAACATTGAACGAGATGCTAAGAATTAGCGGATGCAACTTTATGAATGGGCAGCTTGAGCGTAAGAGGGATATGACGTGGTGGGGATCGCGTTGTGCGATCGATCGCAACCCTCACCCGACTCTCACACCCTTCTCTTTCTCCCGTCTCTCTTTTCGTCCACCTCGCGTTTTACGAGTCTGATTCCCTCTCCCTTGATTCAATCCTGTGCCACCCCTCCTGTATGCGATTCCATTCACTTCCTCCCTCACCGGCCGCGTGCACACACGTGCGTGCGCAATTGTGTGTACGCGTTCATAAACGTATATAATGCACATTACGCACGTGCAAAAGCCCACGGAGAATGAGTCACGCGTGTACGTAGCTCGGGAAGCTCTCCCGAGAATCCACCGGTGAATGATGTAGCGACGGAATTCGGCGCTTCGACACGGCTTCGATCGAAATCAAAACTGCTGCGGGACACGTAAATGAAAACGCAAACGTTCCAGATGCTGTAACGGGGAAATAAAATTTAACAAACATATAATTAATAAACAGCAGATTCTCTGAATCCAGTGTAAGTGTCCAAAGATTGGGCCATTTGGGTGCAGAAGTGCGATGAATCCTCGACGATAAAAAAAAAAAAAAATCAGCTCTCGTCTTAGCGACGTTACAAATCTAACAAAAAAATCGAAAGATAACGCAATAGACGGCGGAGCTTCTCTCCCCAAAAATAAACAGTCTCAATCGACCCGTTCGCGTCGTTGAGAAATTCAAAATCCTCGGCGTTATGTGAAAAATCGCAAACATCAGCAAACGTACGCGGCCGGAAAACGCGACTCCGGAATCGGAAGCGTTACGTAACGAGTATCGCTTTGGGATATCAGAGTTTTATTACACGTAATAGTAGGAGTAAAACATCGATGAGTGAACGAATGTTCCCTCCCCCTTCCTCCCTTCTCTCTATCGAAATTACTCGGCGCAATAAAACGGCGTGGGAGTTTCCAAGGTCGCCGCAAGAGCAAGAGACGTAACATCGCGTGACGCCCGCGCACGAAGCGTGGGCGACAAGTGTATATACAAAATCCACCTACGAGAAATTTTAGATCACTCACGGCAGTTAATCGTGTTCCGACAAATTGTAGCTCAATTATGTATAAACAAACAACGATATCAATGCAAAGTCTCTCTCTTTCTCTCCTTTTTTTTCATAAATATATATTATTTAAAGAATAATTTCGTGAAAAATAATAAGAGAGCAGAGTACAAAATATACCAGTATTAAAATATACATGTGAATAACTACGTAAAAAAGTCTCTTACTCTACGAGTACACAGTATTAATTGTCACTGTCTCAGAAGACTCAACGACGAGAATTTCGTTTCAACAATTGCAACGTATTAACAAACGCGAATGGTATTTCTCCCAGTCACGACCACGACACCGTTATCCTGAAGTTCTTTCAGAGCGTCTTCAAACATCTCGCGAGTCACCAACTAAAAATAAAAAACACACAAAAACCGCACGCTAATATAACATAAACCAAACATAAAATAATATAAAAACATCATATAAAAAATAAAACGCAAAATAAATTATGCGACAACGATAGATAATGAATAGGCGTAAAAATATTTACCGTGTTGGACGCTTCCTTCAATTCGGTGAATATCTTCTGATAATTCAATGCCGTTGTCTTTTCCTTGTTTTTAATGAGTTTCTTCAATCCCTCAACTAGTTCCTGTCTGCGTCTTCTAGCGGCCAATGACATGCCGGTTGTCAAAATGCTGATGTCGATCTTGCCGCTCAACGGGTCAATGGCAGATTGTTTCAGCGCCTCCCGGTGTAATCTGATATGCGAAAATTACTTATGTTCTACCTTCAAAGTTGTCAAAAATCACAAACAGTATTTCTAATGTTAAATCTGCTATCTCACACACCTGCAAGCCTCTTCGACATCCATGATCTCAACCGTATTGCTGAAACGCATCTTAGCGTGTGCCTCGGACAGTCTTATTAGCGATTCCAGCTGTCTCGGATAAGCTGTAATTTGACCGTGACCGCTTCCCACTCTGCGCATATCCACGTAAGCTTGAATTAGTCTCTGTTGACTCTCCTCGTTGATAACAGGACGAATGTGTTCCTTGGCATAAGCTATGTAATCACGCAGAATGCTCATGTCCACAAGATCATCCTCTTCCTCCAGATCGGATTTGTAATAAAGTGACACTAGATGCTTGGCGAGTTTCCTGTCGTATGTTTCGTCCTGAGGATCCAGCATCAGGAAGATCAAGTCGAAACGCGACATTAACGTGTGCGGCAACATGACGTTTTCTATCACCTATTAAAAATGTATAAACGTGTAATAATAATAATAATAATCATTCAGCATTCGTTTGAGACACGTGTTACGCGTCTATAACAAACGAATATTTACTGTTTTATTTTTATTCCACTGCGACTCGGAAGGATTGGCTGCGGCCAAAATACTGGTTCTCGCGTTCAGTTGACAAATAATACCGGCTTTCGCGATGCTCAGCGTTTGCTGTTCCATAACTTCGTGCAGCACCGAACGTGTGCTGTCGTTCATTTTGTCGAATTCGTCGATGCAACAGATACCGTTGTCCGCGAGAACCAAGGCACCGGTTTGCAATACCAGTTGACGTGTTTCGGGATCTTTTGTCACAAAAGCGGTCAAACCGACAGCGCTGGAACCTGATGTAAAGAAGATAAGACATGAAAATTTGAATCAATTATATAATCAAGATATCACATGTACGTAGGATTAAAAATTTATTGTTGACAAAACAAGTGTATTTACCTTTTCCGCTGGTGTACTGCGAGCGCGGTAACAAATTATAGACAAATTGCAATAGTTGCGACTTGCTCGTGCCTGGATCTCCGCACAGGAGTATATGAATATCGGACCGAAAATTCTTCTGATTCGATTTGTTCTGTTCCTTTTTTGTACCGCCGAATAACTGCAGCAATATTCCCTTCTTCACATCTTCATTCTCGTATATGCTAGGAGCGATGTGTCGTGCCAAACGTTCGTACACGTCCTCTTTCTGGGACAGCAGTTTCAACAACTCTATTCTCTCAAGCGGGAACGCATGATCCTTGCCTTCTTCTTGTTCGTACAGTCTATAAGAAAAAAAAATCGTATATACAGAATTTGCGCAACAAGAGTAGATTAAAATTTTATAAAAAAGACGGGAAATACATTTTACCGCTTTGAATCCTGTTTTCTGAAGTGTACAACGTCGATGTGGGTCTTGTAGATTGCCCGTATGTTGGACTGCCGCGGATTAACGCGCAACGGCAACGCGCGATAAATACCGGTGACGGAGACCCTGTCACCTGGCAAAACTGCGTCAACCAGATTGTTATGTGCGAAAAGCACCACGGTATGAGGTGTCTGTCCAGCCGGCATATCGTCCGGCAATTCTTGCAGCTTGATCATCTGCTTGTCGGAGAAGTGACTGCGATTGTGTATCATAGTGAAGCAGAAATTATGATTGCAATGTGTGCACGTTGTAGGCTCGGCTATATAACCTCGATCAACCTCCACGCTTGTTGTGAACGAACACACAATGCACTTGAAGAACGCCTCGCGCATCTCCGGGATGATGTTTGTTGTTCTGATGACCATTCCGGTAATGGTGATCAGCTGATCTATGTCTTCTGGATTCAGAAGACGCATACTTTTGGTCTTCGTAACATTGTAAGGTCGTACTTGAATCTGATGCTCCAATACAGCCGCGGGATATCTCTCAAAGAACATCTCGTTCGCGGTCATGTCAAGAATTGGAATTACTTCTTGAGGATAGGACACCAATTGGTTGTAGAGTTGCTCGGTAAACGCCTGAAGATGAGCGCAATTTACATTCAAGTAAGGTTCCTCCAATGTGTGTATTTCTTCGAGCTTTTGCAAGTAAAGTGGATCTGAGAGATTCATGTTCTCGGGCAGTTCGTCATTCTCTGCCTCTGGATCTATAAATCGCAAGATGAATCGTTTAAATTGCTCCTTGCAGTGTTCCACTACAACATTTGTACCCCAGATCACTAACTGCGAACTATTTTCGCTCTCTGATGTTCTTTGTGCGTTAGGTTCCTCTGGTATCTGTTAACAAAGTTTACGCATAAATAAATTTCATAGCTTGAATTTTGCAAAGAAACAACTTACAGGTTCGGCCAAGTTAACTTGTTGCATACGTCTGTCACTCTGAACATCTGGTCTCTGTCGAATGGGTGTGCCTCTGATACCACTTCGGGGAGTGCGTACTGATATCAGAGAGCTGGGTGTTCCATAATTCAATGGAGAGGACAGCTCTATCTCGCTCATGCCTGCTGCAAGAGGACTTGTCTGTTGCAATGGAATTGGAGATGACAGTGGTACTGATGAACGATCCTCTGACGATGGTGCAATGGTTTCTTGCGCGCGACGACTGGCCCATCGTAACGGAGTGTCTACCGGATTGTTGCCTGGTCTTCTTTGAGGGGTACCTGTCCCATTAACAACAATAAAACTACAGTTTGAGTAAAAACACATGGTTTTCTGAACAAAATTAGCGCATCAAAAAATATCTCTCAACCTTGTCTGATGGATGCAGAGCCTCTGGTACTGGGTGTTCCAGCGACCGATGGAGTTTTGGAGGTCGGAGTCCGAGGTTGTCGCCTCGGCGTGCCGTTTTGACGGTTTTCATCCTGGGAACGAGGAGTTCTCGGTCTCGAAGGACTTGACATTGTTTAAGTAGTTTAGTCAAAAATATCTTCCGCAAACGTGCATTTACATGCACAAACACACTCGACAAATTAATAACACGTGACGTATACACCGGACCGGCCACCTTGTTTTCCCGCGCAAATGTAAAGACAAATTCACAAACTCATCGAGAGAGCGTGAACATAGGGTTTGTTTTTTTTTACCTAAATTGGCTGCACTAGTTTAGAGTTCATCTTTTTCACTTCACATTGGAAGAAGAAAGATAAACTCTGAACTAGTGTAGCCAGTTCAGATAAAAAGAACAGACCTCATATCACAGTATAAGGTCTGGTTTATACGGGCAATAACTGGTCTAGTTTCCACCGAAACCCTCAATTCGGTTTCACTCCGGTACGGATTAAATTTAGTTCCGTTTCCATTGGAAGTAGAGTACTTAGACCCGGTTTCACAATTCGCGGTTAACTCGAATTAACCGAAGTTTGACTTGCTGAGCTCGGTTTAACGCGTTCAATCTTCTTTGTCAAATCTTCGCTAACCAATCACAGTTCATGTTTAGGAAGAAAAGATGCGTTACGCCGAGTTCAGCAAGTTGGGCTTCCGTTAATTCGAGTTAACCGTCAATTGTGAAACCGGGCCTTAAATCTGATTCTACGTCGCATTAGGTGTGAATTAATGCTTCGGTGGAAACTAGACCACTGTTAACTTAGGCCTGGTTTATGCGGGCAATAACTGGTCTAGTTTCCACCGAGGCATTAATTCACATTGTCTTATGTCTTATGAGTTATGCATTATGCAAAAGTCCGTGCTTCGGCCTTGATGTTCAAAGCGCGTAAGCGGCGCTGATTGATAGAATAGTAGTAGAAAAGTGGGGATGAAGAGAAAATGAAAGAGATTAAGGGATGATGACAGGTTAACAGCCAAACCGGTCCAGTGGCCATAGTGAATTTTAATCAATATTTTAATCCCACTATTACTTCCATTATACCCCACTACAGGCATTGATAGACAGAGAGAGAGAGAGTTATTGTACTATGTTGTCTTTGTCAACCATAAAGACATCTTTTCAGCCAAACGCGCAGTCTATATATACTATATGTGTATGTGTGTGCAACGGGCCCTGAAGCCCTCGCATCATACAAACAGACTGCGACCCATGGTGTAAGTATGCACCATGCTGCGACCAGCTGATTGACGTGCACATGCGCGTAACAATTCACAACAAATGTCGAAGCATATTGTTTAGCAATGTGAGTAATGTATGTGTTATACGACTGGCTGTGACTGGCCGGAGAATGGTCAGATACCCGGAAACTGATCAGACGTGAGGTCGCAATCTCGAGTTTAGAAAGAGGCAGTCGGAGGACACGTTGCAGCAGTCGAATCCTGTTTTTATTTGACACTGAGACCAAGATCCACCAATCATTCAGGAACATGGCATTTGGGATCTCGTTCTCTCGTGACATTTAAAATGCAACATTTGCAACTGATCTCACAAGGATATTCTTCCACAAGCGTGTCATCCTAGAAATTGCATCCTTCGTGCAAAACTACATATTAAAAAGTTCAAAAAGTTCGTAAGTATTGTAGTGTATCGAGTTTCCCGTAGTTGTGACTAATACAAAAAATAAAGAATGTATGTGATGTTTGTTCAATGAAAAAAATGTTTTGTTTTCTCACTTTATTGTTTCTCTAATAGAAAAAAGTCATGGCGTATTCCATCAATAGACGACCTTTACTAGGAGGTGCATCCGATAGCGAATTTGAGGATGATTTAGAAACTGAAGTAGATGAACATAATGTTTCGGTTCCCGATAAGGAACCGTTTTTAAAATCATTCGAGCCACACGACAAGTATGTTGAGATCTCTTGCAAAACATATTTACTGACGAAAAGTGTCATTATGTTTTTATAATTTATTTTTTTCTTGTTCTAGGTATAATATTGCATATATTGTATTTTATCTACTAGGAATAAATACATTAATCCCATGGAGTTTTTTTATTACTGCTGACGATGTAAGTAATTAAAAGTAAAGTTCTTTACATTTCTCTCTTTTTTTGTCTTATGTATGTATCGTAACAATATCAGTTATATTTTTGCAGTATTGGATGTATAAATTCAGAGAAATTCATAGTAATTCAACAACAAATTTTACTTACATACATGTAGAATTACTCGAAGAGAAGACCGATCTACAAGCTAGTTTTACTTCTTATTTAAATCTAGCTAGCGCATTGCCAAATACTCTTTTCTTGATAATTAATACATTTATTAGCAAGAGGTACGTAAGAAGAAGGTGTTAAAGACTAGAGAAAAATTATTGAGAATAACGCTTAATAATTAAAATTTTCTGAACTTCTAGAGTCTCTTTAACCGTGAGAATGGTTGGTTCTCAGTGTATAATACTCATTTTATTTATCTTAACGACTACATTTGTAAGGATAAACACTGACAAATGTAAGTCATCTTGTTATATTTTTTCGGTTTTTTTTATTCATGTAACAGCTCAGATTTGTAGCTTCAGTTTAGCAAACACGTGACTTTGCATTTTTGTAGGGCAAAATACATTCCTAATCATCACTTTGGCGACGGTCGCAGTTGTGAATGGTATGTCAATTAAATTAACCGAAGGATACGTCAGTGATTGGAATCTATTGTAAGAAATTAATGTAAAAATTTTAGCTGCAAGTGCAATTTTCGGAGGTAGTTTAATGGGTATAGTGGGCAAATTCTCGCCGAAATACATAACAGCTATGTTCGGTGGTCAAGCTCTTGGTGGGATATTCACGGCCCTGACAGAAATATGCTCTTTGTGGATAGGCGCTAGTCCGGTACTTTCCGGTTTAGTCTACTTCATCATTGGCGATGCTATGCTATTATTATCGCTAATTGCGTATATCATTTTGGAGAGGGCGGTAAGTCTATTTTTCATTATCTCCGGATTAACACTCAATATCATTTATATTTCAATCCGAGTGTTTGTGATAAGAATGAAATCATCAGTAATAGTCTATCGTAAAGATGACACATGCGATGCAAGTGTTTTGTGTGTGATAAGCTACTTAGGAAAATAACAAGACATGCAACAAACATGTGTCATGGGATATTATTATCTACGGATTTAAAGTACACATGGTGTGTGTATCATTCCCATAAATATTCTTCGAGAATTTTTTAATTATTAATCGTGAAATTCTCGGAAAACCATTGTCTAATTAAAATCCGTGTATTTTGCAGCCATTTTTTAAATACCAAACGGTAGAAAAAGTACCTGAACAATTGGAATCCACTTATTCAACAAACGAAGTTAGCTTCTCGGGAGGACCGAGCGTGTCCTACAGACGAATCATAAAGAGAATCTGGCATTATGGCGTAAGCATTTTTCTAGTGTTTTTTATATCGCTGGCTGTGTATCCGGCGGTCACCGTGCTGGTGGAGAGTCAGTACAAGGGCAAGGGTCACGCATGGAACGGTGAGTTTGAATCAAAGTTTCAGTATGTTTTATCAGTTTTGGGACACAATGAATTCATGAAATGTAATTTAAAAAAAAAACAACGATTCCAGACATATACTTTGTACCTGTGGTTACGTATCTTATCTTCAGTACGGGCGACTACGTTGGAAGGGTATTATCCGGTATTTTTCAATGGGTGAGAACTTGCATTTTTAATATCCGTATCTACCAAATATTCGCTTTCGCATTGTATTTACCAAAACTTATTCATATTTATCGAATGTATTTGTTGTAGCCAAAAGGCAAGCCATGGCTCGTGATGTTCATGAGCGTCGCGAGAGGCATTTTTGTACCGGTACTTATGTTTTGCAATGCTCAACCGAGACATCACATTCCTGTTTATATTCATAATGACATATATTATATCCTAATAACTATCGTGTTTGCCGTGTCCAACGGTTATCTGTGCAATTTGACGTTTATTCTAGCGCCCACGTAAGTATATCGTATCATTATAAACTTTCGTTACAAATTTTGCATATTTTTGTCATTGTTCTTACACTTGTACGTATCGCTTTTTCAGAGTTGTAGATAGTCAAGAGAAAGAAATTGCGTCGGCGATGATGGGCGCTTTCTTGGGGATTGGATTGGTATCTGGCGCTGCGCTGAGTTTGTACATGGTGAAAGCTCTTTAAACATTTTTCGAATCGAACGTTTCGCGAATCGAGGACAAATGTAAATAAACAATTCGAGATCTCACTGCCGCGTCTGTGTATTTTAAATCTAGTAGGACCATGAAAACTCTGTGTCTGATATCGAGCTTTTAAACGTAAATTGATGTAGGCACAAGTTATTTGTTAAGATATGATAGGAAAAAATAACATAACAATGTATAAAAAAAGTATTTGCGTTTTTATTACATAATTTCGCCCTTGTATATATACATTTTTAAATATACTTGCGGACTAAGAAATAGGATATCTTTCTCTCTGGTGCGTGTGATGTTAGAAGAAAATAAAAAAGAGACATAATAGAAATGATCAGATAATGTAAATGTAGCTACACAAACATTTCTGTCAGTATTATGTTAATAAATAACATGTTTAAATAAATGATGATTTTAATCTATGAAACAAAATTGTAATTAAATATTATTTTGTAAATTATAATAGATAATCAAAAGTGTACAAAAACTTAAAATTTACCGAACATAAATTATTTCTCAGCTATACATATAAATACATAAATAAAAAAATTGTATACTATTAAATACAACATATGTTATATAATATATGTTATAATATATGTTAGCACAATATATGTTATAATATATATTATGAGTTTTTTGGAACAGATAAGTTCTTATCTTGTTTGCATTAATAGAAAAACAAAACAAAAAACTTATTTTTTTATCAATAATTTTTATAAACAACTAAAAATTACTAATGAAATCATCAGGCATCAAGTGAAATTTATTTTTTCACACATCATAATTGGAAAGACTAGAAAGTGTCACTAACCAATACCATTGTATATCTACAGAAGATGTAAAGTCAAATGTTCTATAAAATAAGAATTTTCAGCATGTGCAATCTCTTACTTTTTTCCATTATAAAATAAAAATTTCATATAAAGGACTAACGCCACACACACATTCTATCTAAAATAATTAAATCTACGCACAATTTTCGTGAAAACAAAATGTGAGATTGCACAAATAATAAAACAACGCTCGCTTATTGGAGCTGACACTTATCTCATGATCGACGATACTGTCGTTCCTTGTCCGTAAGTGGAACAAACATCACACCCATCAGGTATTGCTGTTTAGTTTTTCCATCCAAAGTCTTGTCAATTTGTACTAACGTTTGATCTGAATTCTCGCGACCCAACGGTACTATTAAGCGTCCTCCAGGTGCCAATTGATCTATTAACTACACAAATGAAAAGTGTTATAAATATTTATCGCGAGAAAGATCTGAGAATGAGTTCTACTTACTGCTTGCGGTATTTCTTTGGCAGCTGCTCCCACATGAATAGCGTTGTATGGTCCACGCTCAGGATATCCCAATCTTCCATCGCCAACTAAACAAATTGTAATCATAAATAAGCTTCTGTATTACACCGAATAATCATATGGTTCTGACATATCTAAGCAATTATACAAATTGTTCAAGAGTAAATTTTTACTCTTACCTACTAATTCTACACGTCCATCACGCAAAAGGTTTGCATGATCCTGTCGAATGTTTTCTTCCGCTGTCGCTTTAAGCTCTGGAATGTGTTCAATTCCAACAGCCAATCCATTTTTTCCCATCATAAGAGCCATACATACTGTCAAGTATCCGGATCCAGACCCAACATCCAGTGCTCTAGCACCATTATGTAGTTTGTCCTCAAGCAATTCCAGAGCGTATGCATGCTAAAGAACTTTCTCTTTAGTAATTGTTTTATTAAATGTGTATCCATTAATTGCTGTTGTCAAATAATAAAATCTCATATATAAATATTACAATAAAATAAAGTTTTAAAAAAAATAAAACACAAAATATTCATACAGAATTTGAAGACAGAAAATAATGACATTTTTTATGTGTACAATAGAAAGTATAATAAAAAGAAAATATGTAATAAAACTCAATTACACTTTTTATATTAATTATACCATATGAGGAGCACTAATAGTGGCACCATAACCAATCACTTGCGGAGAATCTATGTAAGCACGGCTGGGATGAGTAAACTTCCCTCTGTCCACACATTTCATCGCTTCGAATACTCTATCAGACTTGATTATTCTAGACCCTAAAAATAAATTCTATGATGCATCATAACATATATATATATATATATGTCGCTTCTAATGCATAAATATATTGCAAGAGAAGTTAGCATTGATACATATATGAAAGTATAAAATCATATAGATATTAACTCTAGATTACACAAGATACATGATATAGTATAAGACATTATATAAGAGTTAAAAATTGCAAGTTTTAATTGTCACATTTAATATCATCCTCCCACGCAACTGTTTTAATTATTTCTAAAATTTTCACATATAAAGAAAATTTAGTTTTTTTTTTTTTTTTTTTGAGCAAAGACTCAAATTGTACATTCAAATTCAAAGAGTCCCACTCGACAGATATCTCACAATAATTGTGTTGGCGACTACCAAATCATCAACAGAGATCTGACGTCAGAGGAGGTGTGTGCGTGTGACACAACGTTGCATAATCGCGCGACACTTACTCCTGAGGTGTTGCACGAGTTCAAAATTGTTTCCGCCCGTGTACCTGGCCATCTCGAGGACAAGCACAACGGACAACAAGATCGCGAACGTTGTGCAGAGCCACTCGACGATGAGAAAGATTTTCGAGAGACCCAGAATTTTTTTTCGTAGCAACCGTGTGACTTCGTCGCTGACAAAAACAAAACGGGGGGAAGAGCACACTGATTCGCGACACGTTCAACTTCCGTTCAATTCCTGTTGCTTCTGCTCACTCACTTGGTCCCAAAGCTCTCAGTTCTTCATGATTCTCGAATATTCGAAGTGCGCATAGCTGTTTGACGATTCCCGACAGATCTATTCTATGTTTTTTTCTAAATACCTAACACATAAATAAATAACGCGTTCGATCGTTAAATGATTTAGTTTAAGGAGTCGACGACACTGCGATCAAATCGCATCTTAATTACTTTCACTGCCGATATCGATAGGCTTGAGAGGCTTGATTGTTGCAACTTGATCGAATGTCAGGGCGAACGACGCAAAATTTACGGGACAATTGCCGGTGATTGTTGCGTCGCGCGGTGCAACCTCCCGTTGGGAAGCTTTCGCGCGCGAATGCACTGCGCACGTCACCGTTTTCAAATTACAAACAAGACGGGGCTGCCAGCTGTCGCAAATTAACAGATCTGTTCTTTGTAAATGCGTCTCGTGCCAAGTGCACATCGAAGTGATCGAGCACGATGAAACGAGATGGAACACCGACGGGCATCGATGAGAAAATAAAAAAAAACAAATTATTTATATCTTTATTAATGTAACAAATAATTTTTTTGATACGATAAAAATGTAATTTATTTTTTCTTTTTTTTAGAATTATATAAAATAAACTTCTTTGTGTTAAATAAACAGATGTTTTTATTTATTTCTCTTTTGTTGCCACAAGAATTAGACTTCAATGTATAAATCGTAACATTTACAAAATAAAAGAGTGAGTACATTTGTGTATCGCAATATTTTAAATAGAGAATTCTGATAACAAATTGTACATTTATATCGAGTCACACACAATGACAAACAGTCGCGATTGTACACAACTCCTATATATATATAACATTATTATTTTATAATATAAATAGTGGACGTAAAGAGTGGATGTGTAAGGAAATTATTACTACACACACATGCGTGTGTGTGTTTGTGTGTATATGCAAAATATATAATTTAAATATATAATTTAAATGTTTAATTATTATGCAAATAAATGTCTTTGCAATTGGAAAACAAAATTGTATTTTTTTGTTTTTTTTTTCTATAAGTGATGCGAATGAATTTAATTTACAACATCTCTCGAATATCCTCTTTGTTGACGAGATTTCACGGGCAATTTGTTTTGTTTTAAATCGCGCGCGTGCTCGTGCGTTCTCTTCTCGGACATTCGGTCTAAAAATTCTGGTTACGCAACTGAGAAGAGGGATCCGTGAGCGGAACGTAAGAAACTTGCATCAGCTTTTTCTTCGTAACCGTGCCATCGGTGCTCTTATCCACTTGCAGAAGATCTTGAAACCTTTGGAAACCTTCTATAGCCACGACCGGACAGATCAGTCGACCTCCAGGAGCAAGTTGGTCTATCAACTGCAAAAATATACAACGTTTGCGCACGAGTGCAATTTTTATACAAAACTACACGCGCATACTCTCATATACTTGCCTCTTGTGGTAAAGTGTCAGCCGCTGCTCCAACGTGTATAGCGTTGTAAGGACCGTCGACGGCGTATCCCAATCTGCCATCTCCCACTAGGCGCATTCATAATGACCTGTCGTTAGTCGGCAGTCTTTATCTGTTACCTTTACAGCAAAGCCACATAGTGGGTGGACAGTGTTCCGTTCGATTCTTCACGGCAACGTACATACCTACTCCACATGGATGGGTCACGAGTATCTTTTTTCGAACTATGCATATACGTAATACTTGGTGATCTTGGACGTTTTTTTTTTCGTCTACTGTATGATGAGAGATTGAACTTTGTACTATGATAAATGACACGTGTTGGGAGAATGGCAAACAAACATTGACGAAGGGATAGCTTGGACTTGAGTTTGACAGAGATGAGGATATATAACACTGACCGAGTCAAACACTGTGGGGGCTTACCGACAAATTTGATGCGACCTTCTTTAAGAAAATGTGGATTGTCCTCGCGCACGTTCCTAGTGGAGATTTCTATGAGTTCGGGGATATGTTCGACGCCGATTACGCGACCGCGCGGGCCCACCATGAAGGCCATGCAGGCGGATAAATAGCCCGAACCTGAGCCGACGTCGAGCGCCCTGGCCCCGTCGATCAGCTGATCCGAGAGAATCGATAACGCATACGCATGCTGCAACGTGAACGAACGGGATTGTCAAATCGTTATTTAAGTTTCAAGGAAAATATACACACAGTCTCAAAAGAAATGTATAAAATGTATACATTAGTGTTTCTCTTACTATCTCTATGTAATTTTTTCACTGTACTTTGCTCAAAAAAACTCTTCAAATATGTTTAACGCATAAATACAACAGCGGGAAAGATAAGAAGGTTACTCGAATATCTCTATATCAAACTACACTTCTGATAACTGTCTTCTTGTGTTCTCACAAACACCTAGACGTTTACATGTGAACATTCAACTTACATGGCTGGTAAAATTTAATTTTGAATAAATCACAAAAATTAGTTGAGCAGAAACCGTTTCTTTTATGATGAGACTTAAAAATTGGACATGAATTATACCATATGCGGGGCACTGATGGTCACGTTGTAACCAATTCTTCTAGGACGGTCAAGATAAGGATCCGATTCGTGACAATACTTCGCTCTGTCAACAGCGAGCATGGCAGCCTCTGCCTTGTCCGTTGCCAAGATGCCAGCATCTGTGAATAATCTGTCCCTAATTACCAATACACACAAATGAACGATCGTTTCTCTCTAACACAATCGTGAATCTAATCATCATTCAAGACTACTAACTTCCGGACTCGAATTGCGAATGAGTGCGTTAAAAAAAAATAAAAAAAAAAAAACGGTCATTTACCTTTCAGCTTGTTCACCATTTCTTGATTCGTAGTGCCGTTGCAGTGCCATGCCATGCTTCGTAGACGGCGATCCACAGGCTCTACCAGTCGAAGAAGGAGAAATCTGCTTCGCATAAAAACGTTCTTTGTGATGGATCAATCGTCGTGGATAAACGGCAGGCGTGGAAAGACGCGATCATAGACGGCTAATAATGCTTTCGATTTTGTTTCGATCACACGCAAGTGGGACAATCTCGGATACGGTTCATGAGTATCGGAAGATCTTTGATAAAAATTAAACAAACCTGCGAAGATTCGAGGAAGGCCTCATTTATCGCGAAACGTCCTCATTCCTATTGTATGCTCGCCTAAATATGGCCGTGAGGATACAGGTAGCGATACAAAAGGTGCATTGCTAGCGCGAGAGCGAGAGAGGAAAGAGGAAGGGGGGGGGAGTATAGATGTACGGGGAAACAGCTGATGCACCCACTATCGATTCGGCACACACCGAAACTATCCCGTTCACGAGAGAGTCGTCGATACGAAGCTGTCCGCGACACGCATTTAAACGCCGCCCCCCGCAAAAAAATAACGGAACGTCAATAAAAACAATTTGATGAACTAATTTTAAAAATATGTATTTTACATAATTTGTATAATAATTTTGTATCGACGAAGAGAGAACGTTGAGAGATTTAAAATACAAAATTTTGCTGGATATATATAAAATTGTTATTCTTTCGACCAACCCTTTCAAGTTAGATTTAATATATCGTTGCAATAAATAGACACAAGCGAATACACAATTGTATGATTGTTTGTTCTTACGAAAGAAATATTGCTTACCGCATTCAGTGGTGTGATGCAATTTCTATTCGAATTGCACAAAAGACATCTGGCGACTGAACGAGGCACATTTTCGACGCAATTTTCGACGCGCGTCGTTTATAGACACGAAAACGTCAGCGTGTAAAATTTCCTTTGACATATAGTATAGATTCAGTACGTATATAGTTTTGAAAAATATAGCTCAAAAATGGCGTGTTACGAGTCAACACGACTTGCGCACACACACACTCGTCGCAGTTGGTAATAATGCGACGTCAAACGCGACGCGCAAACTTTGAACGCGCGAGCCTGACAGGAGAGATTAATCTTATTTTTTTCCCGGAATTAATCTCTTTTTAACAAACTTTCCATTTTATTGCACTCCCGACAATAATAAGATGTTTATTTGAACTTGCTAGGGATTAAAAAAAAATTTATTAAGAAAAATTTACGAATTGCCAATAATTCGTTCGTAGTCTGAAAAATTTATGAGTAAACAATACATCCGGGATTTGTTGCTAACTGCGTAATCTCTAATTGCTACTAATTTATTGAATCTTCAAATTACGCGTGTTTGTGTCTTACGCGATATCACGCGACTCGATGTGAACGCAGACACGATTTTCCATATCAAATTTAGCTTGCGTAGAGTCATAATTTTATCAATCTTTCAAATCATCCTGTCGGACAGGAACGTAATTGCCTCCTCTCTGCACAGCAAGAGACCGATAAATCATTATGGGACACAGTCGTGTGTGCATGTCGCGATAAAGAAAATGTCAACTTGGAACGAATTAGTGAACTTGACTGCACCCACACATCTTGGCGTCAAAAAAAAAAAAAAAAAAGAATAACGTTATGAGATAGGAAAACAAAATTCGAACCACACTTATAATTTTGATGTTAATATTAATTTGTCAGCGCGAGAGAGATCGTTGCACATTTCGCGTCTTATATGTCAAAAATTAACGTTAATTAATTTTTTGTCTTAAAAAAAAAACCATTTTCTCTCGTAGAAGTAATATTTGCGCCACAACGAACTAGAACAAATTTCAAATTATTTCAAAAAGTTATTGTCCAAAATTTCAATCGAAGAGAAAACGAGCGAATTACAATTAATTTGAACCAATGATGTTAGGCAATTACGTTGATTTTTTTTTTTTTTTTCTATCAAATTCTGTAAACAAAGCAATCCGTCAGAACAAAGTATTTACTGTGTACACAGAAAACTTGTATGCTTTTTCTCCACGTGAATGATGACGAGATAAGAGCACCCCTTCCGAGACCGAAGATTCCCGTGCGATTTGCGATCGCTATAAATCGAATTAAAGTTTAAACATCGGTTGAGTGCGAGACGTAACGATCAACCGTTCTCCTTGTTCACCAATGTGTTTGTCTCCTGTTGTTTGTAAATCCGTATTCCTTTTTAATTTCTGGCTCGAGTCCGTCCGCGTCAAAACACACCGCGGTTTTTTAGAGTAACGACGCGCAATGGAGAAACAGGAAAAGCCGCCAGGAAAGGAGCCAGGAAAGTTGCGACAGTTGCTCGTCACCGTGGTCGGTGAGTGAAAAGTTTCCGTTAATCGCAAATCGCGGTCCTCCCTCGCAATTCTCAATGGACGATAGTTCTTAAACAATCAAATATACAATAATAAACAAAATAATTTCAAAATAAACTTTTATATTACATGCGATTTTAGATAACGATGTTAGATAATCTTAGAAAGGAATATATAACAAACATCATTCAAAATAAAATTAAAAAACTGCCTGAAATTATAAATTAGAGAACATTTTTTTCAATCAATTTCATATTGAGTGAGTTTGACGATCGTATCTTTTGTAGCAAATTTGTCAGCGCTGTCTTACGGGACTATAATAGGATGGCAATCGCCGGCAGCTCCGCTACTGCAAAGCTCATCGTCGCCCATAGGAAGCGAGCCCATGACGGACGATCAAGTGTCCTGGATAAACGGCATCACATGCCTGTTTGGCATCTTCGTCGTCGCATTGTTCGCGGTGATACCCGATAAGTTCAGCCGAAAGAGACTCGGTTGCGGATTAGCTTTACCATTGATAATTTCTTGGGTGCTGATTATCGTCGCAACCGAACACGCGTACATCTACATATCGAGAGCTTTGGGCGGTATCGGTGGCGCCGTTCTTTTCTTCATTGTACCGACATACGTGTCGGAAATTTCGTGTGACAGCATACGCGGTTTTCTGGCGAGTGTCTTGGCATTTTTTTTAAATTTCGGAATAATGCTGATGTTCATCCTGGGCGGCGTGACGTCCTTGCGTGACTCCGCCATAATCTGTCTGACGTTGCCCGTACTCTATTTCGTCGCTCTCGCTTTCATGCCGGAGTCACCGGTTTATCTGGTGCGCCAAAATCGTATAGACGAAGCGGCGAGGTATGCAGTAAATAAAAAAAATCGTTAAATTAAATCGCGCGAAAAAAATGTAAATTACACGATCTGCGCTTTCAGATCCTTGAGATGGCTAAGCGCCGGAGATAATATAGTGGCAGAACGAAAACTGTCGCACTTACAGTTACAACTTAAGGAAGCCGCATCCACGAAACCCGCCAACCTGTCGGATCTGTTCAGAGACAGAGCAACGATCAAAGGATTGATTATCGTCTTGGGTTTATACGTCGGTCAACAATTATGCGGTATCTTTCCAATGGTAATTATAATCAATTATACTTTAATAATTGCTTTATTTGAAAAAAAAAAACCCAAAATCTTATTTATAAGATATTAAATCTTTTTGTCGTTTTCTCTGTTCTTATCTAGATCAGCTATTCGGAGAGTATTTTTAAGATATCCGGCAGTTCGTTATCGCCAAACACGTCGGCCATAATCGTGGCAGCCATACAGCTCCTCGGTACGGTTGTGTCGTTGTTTTTAGTGGAGCGTGCGGGCAGACGACCTCTGATTCTCATATCCTGCGCGGGAATGTGTATGTGCCACTTGACGATCGGCGCGTTCTGCTACTTCCAGAATCTCGAATACGAAGTATCCGGTTTCAGTTGGATACCAGTGGTGGCATTGTCCGTTTATATGTTGTTATATTCTTTGGGAATGGGTGGCGGACCCGTTGTGATAATGTCCGAAATATTCAGCCGCGATGTGACCACTCTGGGAATATCTGTAGGCCAGACTGTAAGCTGGACCGGCGCTTTCATCATGGGAAAAATTTTCGCTGATCTCGTTGCTTTGCTGGGCATGGACGGTTGCTTCTTTCTTCTCGCTACTTTCTGCGCGTGCATCTTTCTCTTCATCTTCGTGTTGCTGCCGGAAACCAAAGGCCGGCTGCGCGAGGATATCGTGGACGAGCTCAATGGCGTGCGCACAAAGACGAAGGACAAACAGAACATCGAACACATCATTGGGACAGACGCGGTACACGCGGTACACGTGTAAGACTGTAACTTCTACCTAACACGTGTGTATAAAATCTGTATTTGAAGAAAGTTTGTAGCATAACATTTACAAATTCGAATCTTTCTTACTCAATTTAAACACACGTGCACTCTAGATTCTTATACACGTGTTGCCTTTTACGTAGTTTTATATAAATTTATAATAATTTATAAATTTATAAATTTCTACCATGGATTTTTCTATACTGAAAAAATATTCTTGCAACATTCTTTAATTTATTCATTTAACATTTTACGCATAGCCCTTACTATATTTATTTAATATTTAAAGTCTAAAAACACTTGTTTAAATATACTTGTTCACATATATTATGTACCGTCAGGTCTTCTGATATTATCGCGAAGATGAAGAGATTAGTATGTAAATGATCTCATTTGTATCTAAGTTGAGACTTAAAAAGAAACTCTGTCTCTTGTGATGTACAGTCGTGGGCGTGAATGTGTTTTTTCTACACGAAATTGTCCTGAATGTTTTCATATCATGGGTGTGAACTTTGTGAAAAAAATTTATGTCTTTTCAAGATGTGTTATTGGTATTCCGATTATTACTTCGTAAGAATTCACTTTGTGATAAGAAAATGAGGATAAGAATATTGAATTATTATGTTATCTTGCAGGTGTGCGTTTTATAAAAAAAGTGTAATTAAGACGTATATTCATTAATAACTTATGATACTGTGTTGGCAATATATTAAAACCATATGTAGTCTCCAAAAAGCACAGATAAAAGTTATATATATATGAAAAAAGTATATAAAAATTATGAACAAAACAATTATATAACATCAAGTTTTTACATATACATCCTGTAATATATAATATTTTTTTAAATTTAAGTGATCTTTTATTATAATAAAGATTTTTTTTTTATTATTACATAATCTCGAAATTAAATAAATGTTAAAATAAAAATGCAATAAATTAATTAATATTAATTTAGGTTAAGAATCTCGATGTTTTTATATAAAAACAAGATTGAGTGTTTTTATTTATACTAAACGTTATATAAATGTACATGTAATAAACAACATATGCGCACACATACACACACACACACAGAAAAACAAATTAGATAAGATTAGAAAGAAATTAGATAGAGAAATTCTTTCGTTTGTCTATTATATACTTGTATACTTATTTTATATACATATTTATAATATATTACATTTTCGTGTATGTCTTTTATTTGCGTATATAAACAAAAAGAAATCCATTCGTTACGAACTTTCTTAAAGATATCACAAATATTACACTATATTTGTTTGAATGACTTAAGTATTCTTAAAATATACTTATCTTGAAAATTTACCTTTCTCAGAGGCACAAAAAGATAAGATTCCTATCGCCATTATTTACAAAACGGATGTTATTAATCATCGGTCGTCCTCTTACGCACGTTCTTGTTCCCGATTTTTCTCTTTTTGAAGATAGTCGATACTCCTTCATCGTCACTATCGCCGGCGCTGATCTGCGTAACAGTCTTCTCTTTAAAAGTTTTCTGCGAGGGCGGTGGTTCTGCTTTAGCGAACGTTGGTAGCTGTATCTGCTGCTTCTGCTTTGGCAACTGTAGATCCACCGGTTTTGTTTCGCTGAAAACACAAAACGTTTCTTTCCGATCATGCGGGAGATTGCGCAAAACATCAAATATGAAAAAATGTTCATACACAAGATCATATATGTATATAGTAAATAATAATAATATACATATAAATTAATATATGTAAATATATATAAATAATAAATTTATATGTATATTTATAATATATAAAAATATATTTTAGTAATCTGTATATAAATTATATAACTATATATATATGTATAAATTTACATAAATGCTATATTTTCTTCTATGTGTGCGTTCGAAAGCGCGAGATTTGCAAGAACGTGATAAATTTTCGTGAAGAATGTCAATTTATTTGCTGTGAACAGAATAATATGACGTTCAAATATTTACATTGGCTTTACAACTTGCCAGGCCCCGTAAGGTTGCGGTCTCTCGGGAACACTGTAGTCTCTCAAATACGGTCTTTCCTTCTCCTTCTCCTTCTCCTCCTCCTCCTCCTCCTCCTCCTCGGACGCTTCTCTCTTTACTCCCACGTTCTCACTGTTAGCATCGCCGTCGTTTTCAGCACGTCGTTTCCTGAACTCTCTCATCTTTTCTCTCTCAACGTTAGCTCGTTGTTCCTCAAGAATGTCTGCTTTTTCGACCGCCTCCTCCTGATCCATTTGTTTTATAAGCTCTCTCTGGAGCGCCTCTTCCTTCGCTTCCTCTTCTTGTTCCGCAAATGTCATGTAACCCTCTTCTGGAGGTTCCCATACCGATTCTGTTGTGTATCGAATAAAGTTTATAAACAGACAATTGAATAATAAATTAATGTTACTCTTAAATAAGAGAAAATATGATCCGAAATATATAAATAATAAAATTTTAATTTATTTTATTTTTAAACACTACCATATAGTTATTTAACTATAAAATTTGCTATGAAAATGTCACACAGAGTGTTAATGCGCGTTGCAGAAGTCAACAAAAACAGACATCAACAGAGAAAAAAATGATACACGCACCGTTTGTCTCAACGTGCCAGTAGTAAGTGTATCCTTCGGGACTGAGAGCCTCGTACCAGAGTTTTCTGACGGTTGCGGTTGTACGATCGTCCTCCTGGGTCTTCTTCCCTTTTCCCTTCGTTTTATTCGTCTTACTCTTCCCCGGAGCTCTGTTCTCGCCGCTTGGTTGGACCCGCGGAAACGACGACGCGCTCCTCGCAGGATCGCAAGGATCCACTTTCGGTGAAAACTGAAAAAGTTTCTAACAAAGACGTGTTATTGATGAACAGTATATTATTTTTAAATGTTCTTAAGAAAACAAAACCGGACCTGTGTGTAACCCAAACAATTTGTTTTTGCAAATCAAATAAATAGACTTCATTCCCGAGCTTGCACAAGTAAATTATCAAAAATTATAAATATTTCACATGTTCTAATAAAAGCAAAGAGATAAAAGAGATTTATTCACCTGTTCATTGTTAGGCTTGAATCTTGGAATCGTCTCTACAGCGGCTGACGGCATGCGATTAAAATTTTGAAACGTCTATATAAAAAATCATTTATTTATTTTAATATATAACATTTAAAAAATTAACATATTATTCTCGTAAAGGACTACTTACTTCTTTCGTCTCCGGTCTGTTCATTTTATCTTTGATAATTGTTTGAGCAGTCATGTCTCGCGTGTTATTCTCAACATCTTTCAAGTAAGCAGCCATGGCCGCCTGTGAAGAGAAAAAATGTCTTTTTATTTATGTCTCCTGTTCCGAACAATTTATAACAGATTTTTTTTTTTTTTTTTTTTTTTTTAAATTCAACAAAAGCACATACATTTTCCATTTTCTTAATGTCATCCTCGAACTTTCTGTTTTGTTTCGCCTGTTTCGCGCTATTCTTGTGAATCTCCTTGAGCCGCTTGCTGACATTTTCCTTGTGTTTCTTGCCGCCCTCGTGGAAGTCAATACTCGGTTTATTATCGGCGATCCAGCACTTGCAGAAGTCGCAGAACTTGCGCCCCTGGGACTTCCAATAATCCGCCCTATAATTAAAGCATCCGGAGTGTGATATATCGCGCGAATAACGCTGAATGCGTACAATGTATGTGTGTGTGTGTGTTAGACGCGAATTCGCAAAAATTGCGCGCAACTTTAAATGCAACCGAAACGATCGAAAAGATAGTTCTATGTATTTCGACGCCACCAAAAAAGTAAATTAATTATTTCAACCAATTGCGATTTGCGCAGCTGTCGTCTTTTCGTTATTGAAGAAAATCCCGGGCGGATGTTCCCGGGATGTTCTAAGAGAAATGTTTTCTCCTTCGCGCCAGAAATGAGAACAAATTAGTTGGCAATTAGTCTCGGACCTACGCAGCCTTGAGCGTCACTCGACCTTCGCATTACGTCTTATTTGCGACTAAGGAACTTCCAAGATACTCGACCGAAAGCTTGAAAAATCGTCGAGACTCACGATAGATGCGGAAACTAAAGAGGAACTATCGCGTCTAATTTTCGCATATTTTTTATTTCATTTCTTCTCGCCATTTGTTAATTCGCGCGCGTAAAAAATTTGTTCAAACAAACTTTCGCGTCGTCGTCGTCGTCGGTATTCAAATTAATGTCCGATGAAAATTTTCGTAGCCAAACGAACGTCGAACGCATTCTTGGAAAGATCCGACTTCAATTAAAGACTACCAATTATAAGCGATCCAATTATTCGAAGAAGATTTCAGCTTGAAAATCGAGCTAAAAGCCGGGTCGGGTGTAATTTTCGCCAAGGTGCGAACGTTCTTTTTTTTTCTTTTTTTTTTCCGGAGAGCATTAATCCAATTATGACTTTTTTCGTCGCAATTAGATAGCGGCAAAAAAAAACCCACACTCGATTAACGCGATTATCGATCCTAAGCACCCCATTGGGTCGGACTGAGAAAATTGAGGGCAGCTTTTCCGAATTGTGTGCGAACCGATATCAGTTGTCACTGGGCCGTGATACATTCCGACATCCTCAGTGTCTAACAGACGAGAATGTAAACTTCGCCCGAGACGGTTCGATGAATATTCATTCGAGACACACTTGGGAATCTCTCGGGTATGTGTGTGTGTGTGTGGATTAATCCCGGAGGCATAAATCGATTACGGTGTGTGTTTCGTCACTTAATACTTGTCACGGGCGCGACTGGCGTATATCTATATCTATACAGATTCTTGTTTAGAGAATGGATACGGAGACGCGATACTGATGTTTATTTATTTATTCATTAGACTAAACGAGAGAGAGAGAAAATTACCCCTCTCTTAGTAAAAACAATAAGTTCAACTATTATTATATTTATTATGTTGTTATTTTGGAATTTCAATACCCCGCCCTGGTGTCATTTTCACGCCAACGCGCGTTCTGTCATCACGCGTCACCTTTGTTTAATTAATTAATTTGATTTTTTTTTTAAGTCATATAATGCGCAATCTCGATTACACGAACTCGATTATTATCACGAGAACCCTGATACATATCAGGACACGGTCTCCGTAACGAAGTTTTGCCGAGAATATAAACCGGTAATCTCTAAACGATCGCGTTTGACGCAACATCGCGTGAAATAATCGCGCGCCCGTAGATGAATTAGGGTTAGAGAGCGCTTCGGACTCGGATTAAGCAAGATCAATACGTAAGGATTCTCGAGGCACACGGCCATTGGCCGATTTCCAAAGTAGAAATATCCCTCTCCTTTTGGCGACCCTACGTCAACCTCCAAGCCCGGCTGCATATCTATCATACACCGTTGCTTTTCATCAAAGGCTTCGAACTGACGACGTATTTCGCGCGAGTTGTCGAACGCGTTGTCAACACTTGCTGTAAATTTCGCTGTCGTGCGTGAAAACGCGAAACTGATGCGTACAGCAACAGGTTTCTGACCGCTTGACACGTTGAATCAACGATTGATCGGCGATTGTCGCATTTGAAACGTCTCACGGAGACGTGTGAATCTCGCGGAGAGTGTGAGTCAGCGCGATTGTCAACACACGTCTCGCGCGCTGATGCACTTCGAAAAATTTATGACGCGAGATGTGCGGACGTAGATTTTTTTTTTTTTTTTTTTCGAGAAGCTCGCGTATATGAATTTCAATGTGAACGAAACGATTAAATTTTCCAAGCGCTTGAGAAAAGTCTTAGTCTTGAGACCGACGGCGCGTTAAATAATTCATAAACACACACTCTTCCCTTTTCCCCCAAAATTAATTTCCTCTCGCGGTGTCTTCTTTCAGAAGTGGTTCGGTTACGATCTTCGAGAGATGAAGACGGCGATATCTTAACGGTGTCGAGAGTTCAGCGGGGGGAACCGCGCGCAGATGGGCCGCGCGACAACGTCTCCCGGTTAAATTAACCGTGTCGAATCCAGCCTCTCTCTCTCGCGGGGAGCGAACGAAATTACCCTACTATATACTTGCTTAAGTAACATTTTATATTTGCCGAGCTTCTCGTTACATATATAGGTATATATATATATATATATATATATATATATATATATATATTTTTCTCTCTTGATCTCGATATGGTAGCCACGAAGTGCGCTTAATGATGCGTCCGTAAGTAGCCTGCTACGAGACATCTAGTTTTACGTACTATCTATAGAGCAGGTCGTCACTATTAATAATAGAGCTATTATTAATAGGAGGCGCGGTTGTTGGGACAAAACAGTTGTGCAATTTCTCGATGCGAATTCGCGAGTCCCTTCGGCGAAATTGCGTCGCGTTGTCTGTCCGCAACGGCCAAATAACGTCGACAATAAGAGCGGGAGATTCCACCGATGCGTCTCGTCTTTCGTCTGGCAGACATTACGCGCATATAAAAGCGTCGTTACAGTTCGTCATCGTAATACGCCATATTCGTTGCCATTTCCTCGCTTCTTCTTCGTTGCGCCACGACGAAATTGCACGAGATGCTGCTAACGTGCGCGTTTTTTCAATCCTTTTTTCTACATATAGTTTTTGTTCTTTAAAAAGGATATAAAAGAGAGGAGTAGCAATTTGTTGTATTGGCAACAATGATACAATCCCGTTTTTTTTTTTTTTTATAGATAACGAAGTTGTAAAATGGTGTAAGAAATTTTATGAAAACTTTGTAGAGAAAACACAGGTCGGAATATTGTCTCGGGAAACATCTTACAATGTTTCAAAAGCTCCGCGCCTAGGTTTTACTTTTGTTATGTAACAATGCTTGAAATATCGCAAGTCAAATTGACATTGCTCGACTCGAGCGCGATATTAATTGTATTGTGCACAGTGGCCTTCGAATAAAATCAACTTTCTTGCCAGTCATAGTTAAAGCGGATTTATTGACGATTACGCGTTGCGATATGCGCTCCCGCGTATACCGGCCAACAATAATTTGGACCGAGGCCTCCGGTTTATCGGTGAAAACAATGATTTTACGTCTACCCCGATGTTGTGCTATTCGCGATGTGTGCTTGCAAGCTCCGCCAATGCGCGTCCGTTTGCGAAGAAGATCACAATGCCGCGATCTCCGTGCCCTTGATTCGGCTTCGAAATCGCAATCGTTGAGATGAACATTTACGACCGTAAAATGTTTTCAACGCGTTTCTCTCGTCCGAAGACAGACACACGCACACCACCGATCAGGTTTCTCGATGCCAGAGAATAGTTTCCACATCTCTTCTTTTAGATACGCGCGAAGAAAGAGAGAATCAAATCCATTATCAAACCTTACCAGACAAATTTCCTGATTTTCTCCTCCCCCCCCCTCCGTTTCAACTGGCGAACAATGTTTGAGAGAAGGGAGCGTCTCTCGCGGCTCTGAAGCAAGAATGACTTGTGAACCGGTACTTGTGTCGTACCGAACACAATTTTTTTCTGGTTCACCACGCGTCGACCTCTGAGAGATGAATCGACGCAAGAAGCAAATGGGCGGGAGCGTAACTACTTAGACTTACTTCCAAGTGAGCGCAATGTCGATCCCGAAACAATCGGCAAGAAGATAAATTGCTTTTTCTTGCGATTATACGCTGCACGAGCTTTCGCGCGACAAAAAAAGACATTACTCCTCGAAACGCTCATAGCAAGACCCATCGCGCTCGTGAAACCCATCTCTCTCCGACGATCTCTGCTTACGGCTCGGAGAAGGTGAATTATTACTCCCCTCCCACAAAAAAAAAAAAAGCACGCAAAGAGAAGTTCAGTGCGCGATAGCAGATTATGCAAATGACGTCGATTCGTTGGCGGCTTCCGAAAAGAAAAAAAAAAAAAAAACCAATTCTCCCGAGCGATCTCAATAAATTTCGTTATGAGTCACCGCGCTCAAAAGTGCAGCGTGTAAATCCGAACGAGCGTAACGAATTTTTATTTTTTCCATGCGGAGCAATATCCATCCAGATAGTCCAGAAAGATAGAGTGTACATGTAGCATTGTGTTTGTGTGTGTGTGTAAAAAACGGTATTTCACTGTTCTTCTCTGTCGTGGTATTCATCATCTTAGCCCTCTCCGTCAAGAATTAATTCACATTAACAAATGTGCAAATTAACAAATGTTCAAATTAACAAATTGATTACAATTGTTTCAGATCGTACAATTTTTCTCATATCGCGAGATAAAGAATTTTCATTTTTTCGACAATTTCACGAATTTAACGAAATCAATTCGAATCAAAGCACACGCTTGTGGCGCGTCGACACGTGTATTAAAAATTTACGCGTACACAAACCGTGTTCGCGAATTTCGGAATTGTTGGTCAACACCGCTTGCTGTTTTATCTGGCAGCTAGTTAACGTTCGACGCGCTTCGCCCCGCGCGCTATCGTACGCGCGGATATTTTCGACAGGTTTAACACGTTTCGAAATCACTCTTCGCGCCACTCTCCGTTTCCATTTCCTCCTCTTCGTTCGTGTCTCGCGACACAGACCGAATTCGACGAGGCGCTCGTTGAAATCAAGGTTTCCCGCGAAAATTTACGATCCATCAAGAATCAACCGGATGACACGGGAGAGAAAAGCGTAAATACAAGATATATCGTAAAACCAAGATTTAT